TAGGCTTCCCTGCTGTTTCCTGTGAGGCGCAAAAAGAGTTACAAAAACACAGAGCGGTATTGTCTGACTGAATGTATCTGACTGAAATTACTCCCGATGMGGATGTATCTCATTCCAATCACGCTTTGATGCAGAAGTGCTAGTGCTATTCTACAAAACCAGGGTAGGGGTCCGGATTCTACAGTCATCTTGAAAGAAGTGGTTTTGTAGGGGTCCGGATTCTACAGTCATCTCGAAAGAAGTCAAGCCTTAATATTAGCCGGTGAGCGTCTAAGAGCATACTCTTACGAGGACTTTTTTACGTATTTTTTGGACGGAATTGCGGCCAGATACACATCCAGATATGGCCGYGAATGCAGTCAGAGACATTTGACATACTGCTGGTGTGAGTACGCCCTAAGTACAGAGCCAGCTTTCCAACTTGGGAACCTAGGCTACCGAAACTATGGAAAGCCCTTGAGAGGATTCCATCTCAGAAACATGCATTGCCAAGCTTCATGTGGAGTCAATCCCTATCGGTTACAGCATCAGCCTCCTAGTTACCTACTAGGGGAATGGATATTGAGGAAACATCCTCAGGAATCAGGATGCAATTGGGCCTGGGAGACCAGTAGCCAGACCAGTAGCGATCTATCTTCAGTGGACCCCTGAGTGGACCCCCGAGTGGACCCCTGAGTGGAYCCCTTACTGGATATATGCCCACAAGCTAGCCAGTTAGGGAACACTGAGAAAAGCATAGCGGCATAATTTTGCWGAAGAAAGTCTTCAGTGGAGSCATGAGTGGATCCTGCATGCGCTATGCMGGGACCGGGGGGACGAGCAGGACATAGAGAAAGGATGGGGATAATATGTGGCCCTTGTCAGCAGGGGAGTCCTAATAAATGCAAGTCATATGGAATGCCAGAAACCATGCAGTTTTCAGAAAAGAACCACTTATAAAGCCTTTGGGGAACATACCAACAGAGTGCTCACTCCCCTGAGAAGGGCAATCTACGAAGATTGGCAGAGTGTGAAACAAGACTGGAAGACAGGCCCTGGGATGATCTGGTTGAGGAACACTTGGGAGGGCAAACTCAGGCTTACTCCCCAGGCTGGCTGTTACAGGGGAAAAAAGAGTAGACTAAGAACCGTACTACCTTCATCCCCCGAATACAACATACTGTCATTATAGCTCTATTTGAGGCATCTTTCAGTCTCCACACAGCTAAAATGACCGTACGTTGTATTGGGGGGGGGAGGGGGGGGGGGAAGATGGTAGGTTCGTGTGCTACAAAAAGCTGATGCTCTCCAATTGGTCCACAGAGTTATTTAGATTTGCATCTGGATTAGAGACAGTTGTAGATAGCTTTCGTAGGTTAATTGGAAGAACGGTAAAAYAGGAATACGAACTGAGGAAGAGGGAAATTGTAGAAYTAATAACTTAAAGGGGCAAGTACGTTTGTGTCACAAACGAAGTTCAAAAGGGCAAAAAAAACAATAATGGGCAGCGAAAAAATGGCTGTAGTTCGAAAAGGCAGTCATAACATCAGAAGGCGGTAACATCAGGCCCCGAGTTTGAAAAGGGCGGTTGTAGCACACTTTCCCCTTTTTTTTTCTTTTTTTTTCTTTTTTTTTTATTTTTTTTATTTTTTCGCGGCCGTGGCCAATCTGGGGTGTGGCCAGGACATGTCGGCCGTGGCCAATTTGGGGTGTGGCCGAGACATCTCGGCCATGGCCCAATTTGGGGTGTGGCCGAGACATCTCAGCCATGGCCCAACCATGGGGCCTTTTTTTTTTTTTTTTCAGCCACGGTGCGGCGCGGCGCAATGCGCATCCGGAAGAAAAAAACAACAACAACGCGGCATGACGCGCGACGCGCGATCGAAGGAGAAAAATAAAAAAAAGGGTGCTACAACCGCCCTTTTCAAACTCGGGGCCTGATGTTACCGCCTTCTGATGTTATGACTGCCTTTTCGAACTGCCCGTTGCCCATTAGTGTTTTTTTTGCCTTTACAGTTTGAAAGTGTGCTACTACCGCACTTGTTTCTAACTTAAAAGACAGATAGTCATGGCTGAGTGCAGATAGGACTCCTTATTTTCGGGAACTGAAAGTGCATGTTTTTTTTTGGTCGGATCCCTCTGGGTCTCGTAAAAGGCAAAACTGGGTAAGGCTCCCAGAAGTGCTGTTGATTTTGGGCCTAGTTGCGCTACTCGCCATCCTTCACATTTCGTGGCMGATGCGGGGAGAGTGAAAAAACTGAGAATCATGTAGAACTCGAGGCCTGGTTGCACTTACTCGMCACAACATTTCTTCTACTACAGAAAAGTTAAAATTTTTTGTCTAACTGATGTGCACTCTCCATAAAGTTGTTTTGTGGAGAGGTCTGAGGACCACCCTCCACAAAAACCCGTGCACAGGTGGGGAAACCGAATTCACTCTCCCCAACTTGTGTCCACTGTGTGGCGAGCCGTCTGACACATTTTGCATTCGCCAATGTTGGCGAGTACTAAGTGCAACCAGGCGCCTACTCTAGTTCCCTTCTTTCCGGGTAGAGTCGGTAGACTGTGAGCAGTGTGAGAGGCCCTCGCTCTGTCATAGTGTCTCCACATTCAACAAGTCAGGGGCCCAGGGCCCAGGGCCCAGGGGACTTGTACCGCTGACAGCTGTCCCACTGCTATTCAACCTACCTCAAACCAAAAAGTCACTTCAAGTTGTACCTGCCTGCTAAAGGATTAAAGAAACGATCTATAGAAAAAAAAAAAAAAAACCCGACTTACGAAGACCAGAACAGCTACTGTATCGTCATCAGACAGGTTGGAAAGCCTAGGCCCACGTTCTTTCAAGAACCAAGTATCGCCTTTAGCAGAAAACGCTGACCTGAGCACCTTCCTGTGCCAATCAATGTCTATGACGTGCGTAAACTACCAGTACTTAGAAGTGCGGAGATGGACGTACAAGGACGCGCAGGGATGAATAGCCCTGCCGCCCGGCGCCCTGGGCTGAAGTCATTCAAAGCAAACATTGGTTTGGCACTGTAGCGATGGCTGGCGTGTCAACCAGTGCTGCAGTGGCTGGCTCATTAACAGCTGCTCTTTTTTCAGAAGCACTGGTGGTTTGAAATAATTGTCCTTGTCAATGCCGTTTGCAGTCAGAAGTAAGCAGAGAAGTAATATCTTCATTCCTTATAACCTATTCATTTATTGAGACCCAAATTGTCCAAGGGATGAAGGCTCCTGTTGTCTCCATCATATAGACCATATTATCAGTAGTCTCCGTCAGATAGACGATACCAGGAGATAGGTGGCTTTCCGAGGAGCCGAGTAACTATTGAATCAGCAGTCCAGAAGCCGTGGCAGGATGTACCAAAGGGATCGCACAGTCTCCACCATGATTCCCAAAAGCAGCAGCGAGCGGGCATTTCAACTAGTACATTTCTGACTCAGGCAATCCTCAGCAAAATGCCCGGGATGACACCTCTCAGAGAAAGGAGCAGACCCAAGCTGCCGTGAGGAAAAAAAATGCCAAATGCGCAGACAACCACAAACAGGGGGCTAAGCCGCACTAGAGAGGAGGTTTAGCCCCGGCTTGGCGGTTTGCAGCTGTTCCTGCCATCTGATCTGAACGTCTCATGGCCGTTACGGTATTGAAAAATGCTCGAAAAGGAACACCCAAATTCCCCTGAGCACAAAAGATGTCATGCGTTGTCAAAAAATAACAACGCATAGGTTGCTTTGTATTTGAATAGAATGCATATGCTTTCTATTATAACAGACGAAACATCCGAATACAATGCATTTGCTTTCTGTTAGAGTCGTCAA